AAATGGCCCCATTCATACTCTCCTTAATACAGTGCAGTCGTCCTGTCCCCTTCGCAGAAAAGCACCCCCACAGCATGATGTTACCACTCCCATGCTTCACAGTAGGGATGGTGTTCTTGGGATGCAACTCATCCTTCTTTTTCCTCCAAACACGACGAGTGACGTTTAGACCAAAAAGTTCTACTTTGGTCTCATCTGACCACATGCTTTTCTCCCATGCCTCCTCTGGATCATCCAGATGGTCATTAGCAAACTTCAGACGGGCCTGGACATGTGATGACTTGAGCAGGGAAACCTTCCGTGCAATGCATGATTTGAAACCATGACGGCGTAGTGTTCTACCGACAGTGACCTTTGAAACTGTGGTCCCAGCTCATTTTTAGTCATTGACCAGCTCCTCCCTTGTAGTTCTGGGCTGATTCCTCACCTTTCTATCAGTGATACCCATGAGGTGAGATCTTGCATGGAGCCCCAGTCCGAGGGAGACTGACAGTCTTCTATAGCCTCTTCCATTTTCTAACAATTGCTCCAACAGTTGATCTATTTTCACCAAGCTGCTTGGAAATTGCCCTGTAGCCCTTTCCAGCCTTCTGGAGGTCCACAATTTTGTCTCTGGTGTCTTTTGACAGCTCTTTGGTCTTGCCCATGGTAGTAGTTGGCATCTGACTGACTGTGGGGTGGACAGGTGTCTTTAAAGAGCTCAGACAGGTGCTACTAAGTTAGATTAATGAGTGGAGTAGAGGTGGACTTTTTAAAGGCACAGTAACAGTTCTTTGAGAGCCAGAATTCTTGCTGTTTCTTAGGTGTTCAAATACTTATGTTCAGCAGTGCAAGACAAATAAATTCTTTAAAAATCATACAATGTGATTTCCTGATTTTTTTTTTTTAAATTCTGTCTCTCAGAGTGGGAATGCACCTACAATGTGAATTTCAGCCCCTCCATGATTTCTAAGTAGGAGAACTTGCAAAATCGCAGGGTGTTCAAATACTTCATGTCTGTATGAGAGGCGGGCCTTAATGTCACCTCCACTGTTCTGACAGTTCCCAGTCTGACAGATTGGGCTCCTGATTATGTGACCACTGCAATTCCCAATCAGAGTGGAACTTTGCCTCTCCTCTTCCAGAACCCCTTAAAGGGCCAGTAGGAGCCAGCAGCAATGGATGGGTTACTGTCTCTTTCTTTTTTTGGACATATAAGTATATGTCCAGCAAAATAAAAATTTATTTTTGTTATGGATGGAGTGGAAAAGCATTTTACTGCTATCTGCTGCTATTTACAGTAGATTTCCTCTAACTGTGTCAGTGACAAAAATTTAAATGAACGAAAAGTGAAGGGAACACAAAGAACAGTGCCTACAGAAATAAGAAATTCCTCTTTAGTAGAGTAGGGAAGAGAAAATGCTACTTGCCTGGCTGTTATTATTATTATACAGTATTTATAGAGCGCCAAAGGGTTTGCTCAGCGCTGTACAGTAGCAAGGGGGACAGAACATGAGACAAGACAGTAACAATACACTACACGAGGGGTTCGAGGGCCCTGCTCTTTCGAGCTTACAATCTAGGAGGGAGGGGAAGGTGGTACAGGAGGAAATAGCTGTGGGGGATGGAGTGGTGGGAGGAGTGGAGGAGGTTAGTTGTTAGGTGAGGTCAGGTGTTAGGTGAGGTCGGGGTAGGCTTCCCTGAAGAGGAGGGTTTTCAGGGTGCGCCTAAAGGTGAGGAGGGTAGGTGACAGTCTGATGGATTGGGGTAGGGAGTTCCAGAGGATGGGGGAAGTCCTAGAGAAGTCCTGCAATCGGGCATGGGAGGAGGAGATCAGGAAGCTAGAGAGTAGGAGGTCCTCTGAGGAGCGGAGGGCACGGGTAGGGTAGTATTTGGGTATCAGGTCAGTTATGTAGTTTGGGGCGGCGTTGTGAATGGCTTTGTAGGTCAGAATTATCTTCAGCAGTTTCTGAGTCACTGACCCGAACATGTTTGCTGATCAGGAAAGTCAGAAGTCCTTTTTTGTTTGTTTGTTTTTGGTCAGATACTCAAGGAGAGTGAAATACTAAAGAGTGCCATTTGCACTAAGCCATGTAGATATGTGTTGACTCTGAACAATCATGCAGCAAAATTTAGAGCCAGATTCCAGGCTATTTTTTTAAAATGTCCCTCAAAGAGTTAAAAAAAAAAATGTCAGGCCGCATTATTGACTTTTAATCAGAGCACCTCTTCTTCATCATAAGGATGACTTAAATGACACCCAGGCATCCTCTCCGGCTCTCCAGGACTCTATTGGTGAGATCTCTGCACTGAATTCCAAACTCTGTGCACCTGCTGTACCCATTATGAGGGGTTCCCACCTTCCCTGTGCTGAGTTCCCAGGTCTGTACACCTGCTGTGCCCATTATGAGGGGTTCCCACCTTCCCTGTGCTGAGTTCTCAGATCTGTACACCTGCTGTACGCATTATGAGGGGTTCCCACCTTCCCTGTGCTGAGTTCCCAGGTCTGTACACCTGCTGTGCCCATTATGAGGGGTTCCCACTTCCCTGTGCTGAGTTCCCAGGTATGTACACCTGCTGTGCCCATTATGAGGGGTTCCCCCTATCCCTGAGCTGAGTTCCTGGGTCTGTACACCTGCTGTGCCCATTATGAGGGGTTCCCGCCATCCATGTCCTGAGTTCCCAGGTCTGTACACCTGCTGTATCCATTATGAGGGGTTCCCATCTTCCCTGTGCTGAGTTCCCAGGTCTGTACACCTGCTGTGCTCACTATGAGGGGTTCCCACCTTCCCTGTGCTGAGTTCCCAGGTCCGCACAACTGCTGTCTCATTATAAGGGGTTTCTACCATCTCTGCTCCACGTTCCTGCTCCATGTTCCTGGGTCTGAACAGCTGCTGTGCCCATTTTGAGGGGTTCCCACCATCCCTGAGCTGAGTCTGTACACCTGCTGTGTTCTCTTTATAAGAAGTTCCCATTTACTGCACACCTTCTGTGCCCATCATGAGGGGCTACCCAGGGGCGTATTTACCACAAGGCATTTGCCTAGGGTGGCATTTTTCAAGGTGGCAGCACCTCCCCTCAGAAGAAGGGATGAAAGAAGGGACACGCACTATGGGAACCAGGTGGGATCCTAGAGAGGCTATGGTCTGTCTCATGGTGTATGTAGGGCCTGACTCTCGTTCCCGGGGATGTCCGGAGCTGTGAAGATGAGTGTCTCTCTATCACTGGGGGGGGATAGTAGAAGGCTCTCCCGAGTGGGGGGGCAGAGGTGTTGTTGGTAAATGTCAGGCTTTCTCCGCAGGAGGGGGTACGGGGGGTTGTTTTTGGTCGGTGTCTGTGGGGGCAGACGATTTTTGTGTTGCCTAGGGCAGCACAAAACCTAAATACACCACTGGGGCTTCCACCATTGCTCTGTTGAGTTCCCAGGTCTACACACCTCCCTGTCCCCATTATGAAAGGTTCCAACCGTCCCCGTGTAAGTTCCTGAGTCTGCACACCATTATTCACCCTATCCCTAAGTTCCAGGGTCTGCACCCTTGCTCTGCCCATTATATGGTGTTCCCACCATCCCTGCACTGAGGTACAGGATCTGTACACCTACTGTGCCCATTATGAATGGTTCCAACCCTCCCTGTGTAAGTTCTTGAGTCTGCACACCTGGTGTTACCACTATTAAAGTGTTCCCACCAGGGGCGGACTGACAACTCATGGGGCCCCCAGGCAATAGGGGATCATGGGGCCCCTGTGTCCTTGCCCACAATCAATCCACACCCAAAAAAGCCTATGAAAAGGTACCAGGGGCATCTCATGGGGCCCCCTACTGACCCAGGGCCTTCGGGCAGTGCCCGAGTTCCCAAATGGTCAGTCCGCCCCTGGTTCCCACCATACCTGCACTGAGTTCCCAGGTCTGTACACCTGCGTGCCCCTTATGAAGGGTTCCCACCATCCCTGCAGGATTTTGCACTTATTGTATATTACAGAGAATGTAACAGGAGAACCTGGGACACACAAAGGTGGGTGAGGTCATCCAAAACGCCAAAGTGATCAGAAAGCTGAGAATCCGGAATTATGGCAAGAAATATAAAAAGCCAGGGGCAGAATCAGTGCACCAGCTTTCTCCTGTGGATAAAACTTCAGTTTTTGTTTGGCTGACACTTTAAAGTGAATTGATCACCTAAAATTCAATGATCAAAATAAAACAATACTGTCATGCTATTAACATGATGTAAATAAATGTTTAATGTAAACTCTATGCCCAAACCAAGGCAGCACACCCTTGACCCTTGATGTATACGAGACCCTTGGTGTACATGGGACCCTTGGTGTACAGAGGACCCTTGGTGTATATGGGATCCTTTGTGTATATGGGACCCTTGGTGTATATGGGACCCTTGGTGTATATGGGATCCTTGGTGAATATGGGATCTTTGGTGTTCATGGGACCCTTGGTGTATATGGGATCATTGGTGTATATGGGACCCTTGGTGTATATGTGATCCTTGGTGAATATGGGATCTTTGGTGTACATGGGACCCTTGGAGTATATGGGATCCTTGGTGTATATGGGATCCTTGGTGTATATGGGACCATTGGTGTATATGGGATCCTTGGTGTATATGGGACAGATTCTATAGGAAGATCCTAAAGCATGCCAGTGTATATAGTAGACAGATAGGAAGTAAAGTGTGTGTTGGCTGAAGCACGTTTTCTTGGTGTTGGAGGAGCAGTTACAGCCTGGGGCTGGAGGTAAGGTTGTGTCATATTTTTTTTTCACAGCTCTTGGGAGGAGCTGCACTGCTGAAGACTTTTACTCATTGGAGGAAACGTGTTCTCAAGAGCTGATAAATGACCCGGACTGCCAGGAACTGTCTGCACACTCTTTAAGGAGTGCCTGGGAGAGTCAGGAGCGACCAGGAAGGAACAGCTCACATCCCTCCAGCAGACCTGACACTCAGCAGGGAGCAGCTATGACTACACTCATGGGCTCCTACTCATGGTCGGAAGGCTTGGACTGCTCTACCATGGATGGAGACCTTTCAGATGGACTGTCCCCTCATAGGTCCCCCCGGGAGAAGGGCTCAGAGACCCGCATCAGGAGACCCATGAATGCCTTCATGGTTTGGGCAAAGGATGAGAGGAAGAGGCTGGCAGTGCAGAACCCCGACCTCCACAATGCGGAGCTCAGCAAGATGCTGGGTAAGATATGGGCGACCATAGTGGACCTCATCTACTGGACCTCATCTGCTGGAGGTTCTTCTGTGATACCAACCGGTCCATTGAATGTCATTGAACCCATCTACCTATACCATTACTTCTTCTTCTTCTAAATATTAATAATGATGGATCATGCTATCAGTCTATCTATCAATCTATCTATCTATCTATCTATCATCTATCTTTCTTTCTATCTATCTTCTATCTATCTATCTATATCTATCTTTCTTTCTTTATCTATCTATCTTCTATCTATCTATCTATCTATCTGTCATCTATCTATCAATCAATCATATATCTATGTATTTTAATTTAATTTCCTTATGTAGTTACCGCTGTGTCTTCTTCTAATTTTTAACAATTATAAATAATTCATTGGTCGGTCTATCTATTTATCTATCTATCTATCTATCTGTCTATTTATCTGTTTATTTTAATATCTATTTATATATTTTTATTTTCTTTCTGCATCCACCTACCTCCCTCTTCTTGTATGTATTAATAATTATAGATACATCTAACTATCTATCTATCTATCTATCTATCTATCTTTCTATCTTTCTTTTTATTATCATATCTATTTATATATTGTAATTTTCTTTCTGCATTCACCTACCTCTCTCTTCTTTTAAGTTTTAATAATTGTAGGTAATCCTCCTAGTCTATCTATCTATATATACACTATATATGTTTTATTGTTCTTTCCATCTACATCTCTCTCTCTTTAGAATCCTTCTAAATTAAAACCCAAAAAATAATGAGGCTGATTCACCAAAGGAGTTGAGAATGTTCATTTGAAGTATCCAATCATATGAAATTTAAATTTATATTATTTTTTTTTGCCCATCGCTGTACTGTCCCACCTTTATACTGTAAAGCCCTCCACAAACTGTTGGCGCTTTATAAATCCTGAATAATAATAATAATAATAATATTAATAGAAGTAATTGTTTTATTTTTTTTATTGAACATTCTCAGCTCATTTATTAACAAAGCATCTCTCTCTCTGTCTCTCTCTCTCTCTCTTCGATCCTATCTATTATCTACCTATCATTTTATCTGTCTTCTGTTTCTGTCTTTCTTTGTATATATATCTTCAGAAATGTACATATTAATTATTCCTTGAGCAAATCTGTTAATATCAAAACAATAATAGTTTGCTAAAATGTGACAACATCAACCAACATAGAACACAACTGGATTAATCCACTCTATCTCTCACTCTATCTATCTATCTATCTATCTATATCTATCTATCTATCTATCTATTTATCTATCTATCTATCTATCCATATCTATAGATCTATTCATTCTCTCTCTCTCTCTCTCTCTCTCTCTCTCTCTCTCTCTCTCTCTCTCTCTATCTATCTATTTTATCTTGATTATGGTTGCATTCACTAAATTAAAATGTATCAACATCGAATTAATAGAGCTTGTCAAGTTGTGACAGTGGGCAGAAAAAAATAAAAAAAATAAAACACACCTTAAGTATAAAAATTGAGACAAAGCAGACAGATAGTTCTGCTTGCCATGCCAACTTAAGGGTTAATTATCTAAAAGAAAAAAAAAAAAAGAAAACAGAAAAAACTGGCATTTGATTGGTTGCTTCTATGGATCACAAACTGACAACCCTGCAGGAAGAAGTTTTTTTTTTTTCAGTTTCTTTGTTATTAACATGTGACAAAATGCGAGGATCAAGGAGTGCAGTACAGAATGTGTGCTTCGATATAGGACGCTTGGGAGTTTTGAGAACTACAAGTCCCAGCATGCTGTGACAGCCTAGTATATTATTCTATACCATAAGTGACAAAAGTATTCTAAACTTTTCTGTAACATTCTGTCTGGCTCTCATTCTGACTCTGCTCCTTCTCTGGATTTGTTAGTCCTGTATGTATAGGGATCTCTTGAATATTGCAGCATTAATAAAACACCCACGGGGGGGGGATGGGGGGGTACTTCTAGGGGCACCTATAATTTTTTTTTTATTTTATTAGAAGAAGGGAGAATGCTTAGTTATAAGGGGAGTATTCTACACATATAGGGGTACAGCACATAAAGAGGTGAAAGGGGAGGACAACTGGCTCCAAAAAAGAGCACATGGGGAAGGTGGAAGAGAATTAAAAAGAAAAGACTGTAAGAAGGAGATTGTAGAGATGATTGTTATGAAGGAAGATGATGTCTGGGACAGTCTGCTCTCCCTGTGGGCTCTGCTAGTCTTTGCAGGGATTAGGAGGGGATCATGGAGGGCGCAGCCAGGGATTTTACACTTGTTTGTGAAGTTTGGAGTGAACTCTGAGAAGAGAGAGGAAGCTGACTGATTGCAGACACAGGGCCACATTGCCTCTTATCAGACTGCTGGACGCTCCGGAAATGGTTCAAGTCTGAGCTACAGGGCCACTCTACAGAAGATACATAACACCAACAACAAAAAAACATAATAGCAACAACAGTGAATAGAAAAACTCCATAGAAGAAATAATAATAATAATATCAAAAGCTTCAACAGTGAAATAATAACTCTACGAAAGTAGCAGTTTAAAAAAATTATGATTATGATAATAACAACAATAATAATAATAATAATAATAATAATAATAATAATAATATCTAAAGTCTCAACAGTGAAAGAATAACTACACAAAAGTAGCAGTTTAAAAAAATTATTATGATGATGATAATAATAACAATACAATAATAATATCTAAAGTCCCAACAGTGAAAGAATAACTCCACAAAAGTAGTAGTTTAAAAAAAAATATTATGATGATAATAACAACAATAATAATAATATCAAAAGTCTCAACAGTGAAAGAATACATACTCAAAAGTAGCAGTTTAAAAAAATTATGATGATGGTAATAATAATAATAACAATAATAATATCAAAAGTCTCAACAGTGAAAGAATAAATCCATAAAAGTAGCAGTTTAAAAAAATTATGATGATGGTAATAATAATAACAATAATAATAATATCAAAAGTCTCAACAGTGAAAGAATAACTCCAAAAAAGTACCAGTTTAAAAAAAAATGATGATGATGATAATAATAATAATAAAAAAAAATTATTATTATTATTATTATTAATAATAATATAATAATATCTAAAGTCTCAACAGTGAAAGATTAACTCCACAAAAGTAGCAGTTTAAAAAAATGATTATATATGATGATAATAATAAAAATAATAATCATAATATAATATCAAAATCCTCAACAGTGACAAAATAGGTCCATAAAAGTAAAGTAAGTAGCAGTAAAAAATAATAATAATATAGCAACAACAGTGAATGAAAAAACTCCATATAAGAAATCATCACCATTATCATCATCATAGCCTCGACAGTAAAAGAAAACTCTACAAAGTAGTAGTAAAAAAAAAAAAGATAATGTTTATTTTTTTATTATTTATTATTATTAATAATAATAGCCCTAGCGGTGAAAAGATAACTCCATAAAATCAGTAATAATAATAACAACAACAACAATAATAGCCTCAACAGTAAAAAAAAAATTAATTAAAAAAAGTAATGGCAAGAAAAAAAAAATAATAATAATAAAATACTATTGCAAAAACACAGTGAATAAAAACATCATAGAATTATAATAATAATAATATTAACAACAATAATAATAATAGCCCTAGCGGTGAAAAGATAACTCCATAAAATCAGTAATAATAATAACAACAACAACAATAATAGCCTCAACAGTAAAAAAAAATTACTTAAAAAAAGTAATTTTAAAAAAAAAAATAATAATAGTACTATTGCAAAAACAGTGAATAACAAACATAATAGAATTATTATAATTATTATCATTATTATTATTATTTATTAATAATAATAATAATAATAATAAATAGCCCCAGCAGTGAAAATAATAGCTCCACAAAAGTAGTAGTAAAAAAAATAACAATAATAGTAATTGCCTCAACAGAGAAAAAAATAACTCTAAAAAAGTAGTAAAAATAATGATAATAATAATAAATGTTAGCCCTAGTGGTGAAAAGATAACTCCATTATTAGTAATAATAATAACAACAACAATAATAATAGCCTCAATGGTAAAAAAAAAAAAAAAATACTTCTAAAAAGTAGTGGCAAAAAAATAAAAATAATAGTACTATTGCAAAAACTGAATAAAAAACATCATAGAATTATTATTTATTATTATTATTAATACCAATAATAATAAAAATAGCTCCAGCAGTGAAAAAAATAGCTCCACAAAAGTTGTAGTAAAAAAAAAATAATAATAATAATAGTCTCAACAGAGGGAAAAAAATAACTCCAAAAAAATAGTAGTAAAAATAATGTAAAAATAACGATAATAATAATAATTTTAATATAGCAACAACAGTGGATTAAAAATCCAGAGAAAAGGTAGTAATAATAATAATAGCCCCAGCAGTGAAAAAATAACTCCACAAAAGTAGTAGTAAATTTAATTAAAATTTTTGTGAATAAAGTGAATAAAGAACTCGACGGAATAAAATAATAATAGCAAGAACCAATGAATAAATAACTACACTGTAATAATCATCATCATCATCAAAATAATGATAATAATATATCAACCACAGTGCAATCGGGGAGCACACATTCTCTTTTATTATATAACACAAGGCTGATTTACCAAATAAGTTAAATATTCAATTCAATTATCCAATCATGTGGAAATCAAATTCCTGTGTACTATGAACACACAATCATGTGCTGTAGAAATTCGCTTCCTGTCAACATCTGCTGAAATATTGAGGCTGATTCACTAAACAAGCTGGGAAACTTTCATGCAATGAATGGTGTGAATATTCATTTCAATTATCCAATCTTGTTAAAAAAAAGCAACTTCCCGTTTTTTTTGAAAACTCAATTGTGTGCAAATGCTTTTTACATGATTGGATAATTGATGTAAATATTTACACATTTTTATGAGTGAAGATTCTCAATTCGTTTATTATGTGTATCTTTGTTTCATCTATCTATCGGTCTTTCTCTCTATCTATAGTATGCCTGTCTAGTATTTTATATTCTTAATTTTCTTTCTAGCAATAAAGTCTAGGTTTAAATAAAACATCATACATTTATCATAATCGGATCTATCAATCTATGATCTTATCTAGCATTCGGAATGTGTGTGTATATGTCTAACTATAGAGATATTAAATGGTAAAAAAAAAACCTCATAACAAAGTAATGTGTATATGTGTGTGTGTTTATATATATATATATACTTTATTCTAGATTTAAATAGAAAAAAACATATCTGTCTTGCTATCTATCATTCATATCTATCTATCTATCTATCATATTCTATCTATCTATCTATCTATATTATATCTATCTATATCTATCTATTATCTTTATCTATTATCTATTATCTTTATCTATCTATCTATCTATATATCTTATCTATCTTTATCTATCTATCTATCTATCTATCTATTCTATTTATCTATCTATTATCTATCTATCTATCTATTCATATTTATCTATCTATCTTTCTATCTATCTATATCTAATCTATCTATCTATCTATCTATCTATCTATCTATCTATCTATTCATATCTATCAATCTATCTATCTATCTATCTATCTCTACGTTTATGGGACTGGAAAAAGTGTACTTGTGTGTGTATATGTATATATATATATATATATATATATATATATAATATTTTATTATATATTTATTTATTTTTTAATTTGTATTATTTATTCTCTTTCGTTTTTGTATGTTTTTTTAATTTTTAGTCTACATTTAAATAGAAAAAAAACCCAAACATTTTCTGTCTTTATCTATCTATCTATTTTTATTCATATTTTCTATCTATTATTATCTATCTATTATCTATCTATCTAATATATCTATTCTATCTCCCTATTTTTATCTATCTATCTATCTATCTATCTATCTATCTATCTTATCTATCTATCTATCTATCTATCTATCTATCTATCTATCTATATCTATCTATCTATCTATCTATCTACGTTTAAGAGACTGGGATAAGTGTACTTGTATAAGTCTATGTATATAAATCTAGAAATATGAAATTAAAATAAAGATTAAAAACCCCACTGAAGTCGATTGGTTGAATATGAAATAAAAAAAACGGAAGACAATTGGAAATCAGCTTTGGACTGCACCTAAATAAAATATTCTTTTATTGCATTGTAAGATACATTGAAGTATTAAAGAAATGATATACAACCGCAGAACTTGAAATTATGAGGATTCTTTACTAAAACTGCATGGTGCATTATTTGGTGCAGTTCGGCATAGAAACCAATCAGCTTCCAAATTTTATTGTCAAAGTTTGACTGAACAAACTGAAGTTAGAAGCTGATTGGCTCCCATGCACAGCTGCACCAGATTCTGTGTGCTCCAGTTTTAGTAAATCCCCCTCTTGTAAACAATATATAACAAAACATGTGGTATGATCTGCAGAAAGCTCCATATATAGTTACATAGTTAGTCTGGCTGAAAAAAAGACAAAAGTCCATCCAGTTCAACCATTAAATTATAATCCTGCACCCACAGTTGATCCAGAGGAAGGCAAAAATATTAGTTGATTGCTGGATGGCAACAGTAACAGATGTGGACAAATGTTGTCAGGATACTTTAGTATCACAATATGGGAGATATCACTTGCAACCCATCAGCTACCAAACGATCATTATTATTACCATCAGTACCATTGGGATTATTACAAATACATCTATTTATAAATAAAACCCCCTTGAAAATATTTTGTAATTTGGGGTCTCAGGAAAGCTCTGTATCTCTGTGGTCGTTTGCTAAAAATATATCTGTTTCCTATGACCTAACACCTGTGTTGTTGATCTGCACATCCTCCAAACTACATCCTGAATTTTAATGACTGTTTTTTTTGTGTGTCCTGTTTGATGTGCAGGAAAATCCTGGAAGGCCTTGTCTGCATCCCAGAAGAAGCCCTATGTGGAGGAGGCCGAGAGGTTGAGAGTCCAGCACATGCAGGACTACCCCAACTACAAGTACAGACCCAGAAGGAAGAAGCAGATCAAGAGGATCTGTAAGAGGGTGGACACTGGCTTTCTGCTCAGCAGCCTCTCCAGGGACCAGAACTCTGTGCCAGACAGCAGAAGCTGCAGGACAACTGGAGATAAAGAGGACAGTGGGGTCTACTCTTCTGGACCAGCTCTGCAGGATATCAGAAGTTACAGGGATTCCCAGAACAGTGTCAGCAAACATGAACAGACCTATCCTTATGGCCTCCCGACCCCACCAGAGATGTCCCCTTTGGAGGTCATTGACCAAGAGCAGAGCTTCTACCCTTCTTCATGCCCTGAGGACCACCACCCTCACCTGAATGCCACCAGCTATCCACCTGAATACTCCAGAAGCCCCATCCTGTGCAGTCACCTGAGCCAAATGCCTGGACCACCAATGATCCCCCCCAACTGCCCCCCAAGCTACTTCAGCTCCAGCTATCCTTCTATGCACCATCATAGCTACCAGATTCATGGCCACCTTGGCCAGCTGTCTCCTCCACCTGATCACCCCCACTATGACAGCATTGAGCACATCAGTCAGGCTGAACTCCTGGAGGACATGGACAGGAATGAGTTTGACCAGTATCTAAACACCTCCATAGTGGAGCCCAGTGAAATGACAGTGAGTGCCCATGTCCAGGTGTCCCAGTCTATAGACCTCCAGCCACCACAAGAGACCAGCCTTATTTCTGTGCTGGCAGATGCCACTGCCACCTACTACAACAGCTATAGCGTCTCCTAGAAGGACCAGGAGAAGGACTTTGCATAGACTGGACAGTATTAATGGCTGTAGACTAAGCTAATGACACTTACTGTACCTCTCAGGGTTGTCACACCAAGATGAGACCTTCACATCAAGATCAGACCTTCTCAATCCAGCTAAGTGACTCTCCTCACTACTGACACACTGGGGTCCTATGGTTTGGTGGAACCTATATGTGAAGGGAAATCCTGTACATAAAGATTATTGTATGCTTATATCTGGACAAAAAAAAATAATTAGTCATAAAATATCTAGTGCTGAGCATTTACAGTCCTCCATCTCTGGCTAGCTATGGTATCTGAGGAGGCTTTTGTAGGCACCTAGATAGAATGTCTATCCATACTGTACAGGAAGGATATAGGCAAAGGAGACATTCATTGTCCTTTTAGAATGTTGTTTTATGTCTCATTGAACAGAAATTTTTTTCTCCAGTTCAAGGATTAAAATTGTGATATAAAATGTATCCGCACTCTTTTTTTTTGTATGTTACTTTTTTTTTTGTTGTCATTGAATAAAGAATGAATTTGCTTTCAGAATGATGTAGCCTAATTAACCCTGTCGTCGCCGTCTGCCATTTGGTGAGGGTAGTGGAGATGGTCTGCGATCCATGGGGGAATGCATTTTAGTAAATCGACACGGAAAACACGCTTAGTAGAGTTTAAACTTTGACTTGTATTTTGACTGATGTACATATGAGTTTACTTAAATATTTAATTTAATTCAGAATGCTTTTTTTTTTGTATAATAAAATACACAGAGAACGTTCATCCAATATGGCTTTCTGTTTCTGTTTGAGAAATAAAGGGTATGCAATTATTATGTAGTAAATAAAAAGAGGAAATAATCAATAAATCGTTTGTAATCTAGATTTAGGTTAGAATTTACACAGACAGAAATAGTTTACACATACACTTTACTTGTATGTGATATAAAGTATACCTTTATTGTTATTTGATATTTATCTCTTTCTTTATTTTATTCTCTCTCTCTCTCTCTCTCTCTCTCTCTCTCTCTCCATATATACCTGATTTACTTATTTATTTCAACTTTACACAGCGCTTTACATATATATTGTACATTCACATCCTTCCCTAACCCTCAAGGGGCGTAATAATATTTTTTATATCTATGTCATAGAAGAGTAACGGTATGACGTGGTCAATTGGATTATTTTTTTACCATTTTTTTTTTTTTTTAGCTTTTTTTTCTTATCTGAGTAACACACACATATGTTTATATACAGTATATATTCATCTTTATTTCTATACACAAGCATACAAATATTTATCTTACATATATATATTAATATATATCATACATTATTTATGTATACAGACACTCCACAATCTATCATATATGTGAATGATTTATCCATCTCTGTATACAAACACACAAATATTTATCGTTCATATATTATATTTATATATAAACATATCATATACTATCTCTGTATACAAACATCCGAAAATCTATTATATATATACATATACATATATCTATACAAGCACCCGACAATTGATAAATTTTTTTTTATTATATTATTATTATTATACAGAATGTACTGTATGTGAGTGGTTTATGCATCTCTGTATGCAAACACACAAATATTTATCTTACATTTTTATATTATGTATATAAATATATCATACTATCTCTTTATACAAATACCTGACAATCTATCATATATTATTATTAATAATAATAAAAAAAAAAAAATAATAACAATAATAATAATAATATTAGTATACAGGATATATGTGAGTGGTTTATGCATCTCTTTGCAATACAAACCCACAAATATTTATCTTACATATATTATGTATATAAATATATCATACTATCTCTTTTATACAAATACCTGACAATCTATCATATATTATTATTATTAATAATAATAATAACAATAATAATAATAATATTAGTATACAGGATATATGTGAGTGGTTTATGCATCTCTGTATACAAACACACAAATATTTATCTTACATATATTATGTATATAAATATATCATATACTATCTCTTTATACAAATACCTGACAATCTATCATATATTATTATTATTAATAATAATAATAATAATATAATAATAATAATAATATTAGTATACAGGATATATGTGAGTGGTTTATGCATCTCTGTATACAAACACACAAAATATTTATCTTACATACATTAAATATATCACAGGGGCGGACTAACCATTTGGAAACTCGGGCACTGCCTGAGGGCCCGGGGTCAGTAGGGGGCCCCATGAGATGCCCCTGGTTTTTTTTTTCATAGGCTTTTTTGAGTTTGGACAAGGACACAGGGGCCCCATGATCCCCTATTGCCTGGGGGGCCCCATGAGTTGTCAGTCCGCCCCTGAATATCATATCTCTTTATCCAAATACCAGACAATCTAACATATACACCATATGTGAATGATTTATGTATCTCTGTATACAAAACAGCCAAATATTTATCTTACATATATTCTATATAAAAATATATCATATACTATCTTTTATGCAAACACCAATCTATCATATGTCTAAGAATACTTATAATAATATTAATCTTATTATGAGACAGGATATGTGTGGGTGGTTTATGTATCTCTGTATTCAAAAAATATTATCTTACATATATTATAAATTATACATACTCATATATTATATATATATATATATATATATATATATATAATATTCTTTTTATAATATAAACACCCCACAATCTATCATATATACAGTATGTGAATGATTTATGCATCTCTGTATACACATAAATATTTATCTTTCAAATTATAATATATATAAATATATCATATACCATCCCTGTATACAAACACCCGACAATATATCATATTATAATTAATATTATTAACAATAATATTTTTATTATTATTCAGGATATGTTTGAATATTTTTTATGTATCCCTGTATGAACCCAAATACTTATCTTATAATTGTTATACAGGATTTATATAGCGCCAACAGTTTGCGCAGCACTTTACAAAAAAAAAAAAAATAAAAAAAATATATATAAATTAATACGATTTTACATGTAGAAGTATCATATACTATCTCTGTATACAAAACATTCCACGATATATTATACTGTATATACACGTATACAGGGGCAGACACTAATATCTATCTTAATATATAAAATATGTATCTATTATATATTTTATTTATATTATTATATTATATATATATATATATATATATATATTTTATCTCATACCTATCTCTATATGCAAACGGTATATATATATTTTTAACATTATATAGTTACATAGTTAAGTCTGGCTGACAAAAAAAAAAGACAAAAGTCCATCCAGTTCAACCATAAAAAAAAAAAAAAAAAAAAGAAAGAAAAACATTCAGTCATCTCTATTTTCGTTACATTTGTGATTACAGTTACAATATTTTCCTAATATATATATATATATATATAGTTTTTTTTTTTTTTTTTTTCCTTTAGTGATCTCTGCGATTTTTTTTTTTTTTACTTTTCTTACCAATGCAGTGTAAAATGAAGAGTCTGTCTATATGCCCCATTAGCATTTTTCTATTTTCAGGTGAATTTGTGAGACACAAGATAATATTTTTTGTTGACCATTCTGAGCATTTGGTGGGGACAATTTTTGTTTGATGTTTGGGTTCGGGGCTCTGCGATTTGTCGCACATTATTGTCCGCAGAGGTAGCTGTGAATAATGAGGTGACCCATGGATGACAGTCCTACCCCGGAGACAGCGACTCCCAGTGACAGCAGTTATGTGCACAAACACCGGACGATGATCGCTCAGCCTGGCTAACTCCAACATACAATCATCCAAGGTGCCAGAATGGAGTCATTTGTATTTGTTTTCATAGTAAACACTCAATTAGGCTTAAGGGAAAAAATATTTTTTTTTAATTTCCCTCTACACTGTTCTTTTGTTGAAAGTGAAAACAGAGCTGTATTAATGATACAAATGAAGAAATAATAATTTGTGTACAAAGTGTGAGAGTGAAGTGTGCCAGAAACCTTCTCCAATAGAAGAGCAGAGCTGATTATTGACACAAGAAGACAACAATCTCCTCCATCACACTGTACTGTTTACTCTGTTCACACAGACTGGGCCAGAAATTCAGGTTTATTGATGTGAGCTTTTATAGAAGATTAACGAGGATTAACATTTATTTTTAGAGAGAGAGAGAGAGAGAGAGAGATGAAAGAAATAAAGAGAGAGAGAGAGATAAGAGAGAAATATAGAGAGAGAGAGAGAGAGAGAGAGAATGAAAGAGAAAAAGAGAGTAAGCTGGAAAGAGAGAGAATGAAAGGAGGAGAGAAGGTAATAGAAAGAGAGGGAAAGGAGAAGACAGAAAAGGTGGGGGAGAAGGAAAGAGGTAGAGAAAAACTCAGGGGAGAGAGAGAAGGAAAGAGAACGATTAAAAGAGAGAAAGAGAGCGAGAGAAAAAAAGGAAAGAGAGAGAAAAGGGGGGGGGAGCGAGAAGGAAAGGGACAGATAAAGAAATTAGAGAGGGGAGAGAGAGAGAGAGAGAGAGAGAGAGAGGGGGGAGAAAAGAGAGAGGTGGAGGGGTGGAGAGAAAGAAGAAAGAGAGATGGAGGGGGCCGGAGAAAATCAGAGAGAAAGAAGAGAAATAAAGAGAGAAGGGTTAGGGAGAGTTTTTTTTCTAAAATCCTAAATGAAAACAAAATGTTACAGTTTTTACTGTATTGTGATTTTTCAGTGTTGCAAAACTTTTATCGAAGTCAACTATCGTTCTTTCCGGTCTATCGTATCTATCTATCTATCTATCTATCTATCTATCTATCTATCTATCTATCTATCTCTATATTTATCTATCTAGCATTCTATTTATGTATGTGATCTCTTCGTTTTCTCAAATGCCTTTGTGACTGCTATATTTATGGAGAAATATATAATATAATTTCTTTTTTTATCTTTTTCTTTATTCTTTCTTTCTTTCTTTCTTTCTTTCTTT